ATATTCAAATTTTCTGAGACACTGAATTTTGGGTTTTCATTATCTGTAAGCCATAATCATCAAAATTTCAAGAAATAAAGGCTTGAAATATTTCACTCTGTGTGTAATGAATCTATATAATATATGGGTTTCACTTTCTGAAATGAGTGACAAAAAATATTGACCTTTTTCATGATATTCTACTTTTTTGAGATGTACCTGTAGATCGGGGGCGCATTCCCTTCAGAAACAATGTAATCCACTGCGAGTTCAGCAGCTCAGATGTCGGGAGTAAATGAGGACTGCTGTTCATTATTACATCCATCAACAGAACACCTCAATCGCTTAGGAAGGAGTCATTCTTGTCTACATCTGCTCCGGCGGTGAAACAATGGAGGACTGATGACAGCTCACTCAGGGCGGGTCTAAGGTAAGACACCAGTCCAGTCTGTGCTGAAATGCTACTGTCAATCAAACTATCGTGGGAGGGGCCTGTCTGTGTGACATCACACAGACAGGCATCTGAGATCGGCTCGATTAGAGAAAGGGGTAAAGATTTGAGTAGATTAACAAAAAACACTGGGTGGATTTTTATCATTATAGGGTGGTTGTGTACACACACTGCCAACACACATTTCAGTTCAAATAACTTGTAAAAGTGCATGTAGCATCCTATGACCCCTTTAACTAAACCACCGCCAACAGAGGCATCATTTTTTTGTAGCACAGGGGCCTCCAAATTCGGTCCTGCTGTGCCGGTGTCCTGCAGAGTTTAGCTCCAACCCTAATTAAACACACCTGATCCAACTAATCAAGGTCTTACTTGGCATACTAGAAACTTCCAGGCAGGTATGTTTAGGAAAAGTTGGAGCTAAACTCAGGACACCGGGCCTCCAGGACCGAGTTTGGAGTCACCTGGTATAGCCATGCTCTGCAGAGCACTTCTCATGCAGTGTTGCCATGTCCTCTTTTTTTTAATGTCTATGAGCTTGTTGTTTGTGCGAAGCTCACAAAACGATCTGGTTTATGGACTTATAAAGTGGGCACTTGTGGGTCACAATATTTTTGTCATATTTTAAATATTAAGTATTCGGATTTATTTTGGTTTATTATGAAGTTGTTCTTGTTTGTGCTTTTTTTCTAGCAAGATCTGGCAACACGAATGAGTAAGTGAGTAAAGACTCACCTACTATTTCTTGTACCAGAGACACGTCTCTAATACGCGGCTCGAATGGGTAAGAGTTGAAAGAGTGAATCTTCTCATCTCCTCTGATAAAGCAGCACTTGTGAAGGTCTGGTCTGTGTGGCTTCAAGTAGGAAAAAAACTCTTGAATTCCTGTCTGTCTAAGATGAGTAAGACTCATGTATAAATCCTTACATATTTTTCAAATGCATACACTCAGAAGATGTTCAGTGAACTTAATCAAACTGAGATAAGCTTTTCTAAAGTTCACGTAAGAAGACTTGAATAAGTAAATGTTCTGTTGAACAAACCGAATTAATTAGAATTTCTCAATTATTTATTACTTAAATCAATCCGTTTTATTTAACTGCTAGCTACTAATACATTTGTGACTTAATGTAGTGAGATGAAGACTCATCATTGCTCATTTTGTAAAGCATCATGGTGTTAGTAAAGCTGCCAACAACAAAACCACAAGCTTCACTCTTCTGCACAATGAAAACCACAAAAACTCCAACATCACAGGAGCTCTTCTCAGTCTCCTGATTAAGATTAAGCGAATAAATATTAAGTCAGTTTTTATCTTAAAATATTTAAGTGGATTGAACTTCTGTTTAAGTTTACTGAAACAAATTAAATTCAACAAGAAGCAAAAAATCTATTTTTTTGTATTGATAACATTTTTTTGCTGTAAGCTGTATTGGTGGCTATGATATTGCTAGCAAGCACTAAAATTGTTCAGCAAAAATGTGTAAGTATAAACAAAGAAATGTTTTAGAAAAACATAAAATCACGTAAAGGCCACTGAATTGGGTCACATAAAAGTAACTTTATTTCATTATGCTGAAGTTATGTAAACAAATTGTGTTTTCCAACAAAGAATTATTGAACAAAACTGAGAGAAAAACAATCTATATATAGAACTGTTGTACATGATTTTATCATCTGAATTTAAGCATTTTGTTCAGCGCACAACACATTACTTCATTATGGTCATGGTTGGTCTCCTGAATAGCGCACAGTTCAGGTCACTTGTTTTTCCAGAGTTTTTCAAAGTGTACACAGTGTCACACCAGAGATCTTTCTCATCTCTTCTTGTCCTGACAGCAGTGACTTTAAACTTCTCATATGGAGGAATCAGCACCTCTCTCTCATGAGAAAGCTTTGAATATTTTGACACATCAGCACCTTCACAAGTTTTGATTTCAAAACAAGATACATTTCCAAAACGCTGTGCTTTTTTACGAACAAGAGAGGAAGAAGCAAACTGGCCAAAACGAACTTCTTTGTTCAGGACATGCTTATCAAATTCAGCTTTGGTACCACGAAAAGTTGAATAGCATTTGTTTTGTGTTTTCTTCAGAAGCTGTATCGCTTCTGTTAACAGAAAGTAAAGTGAATACCATTTGTATGTTTCATTTTTGTACTGTTTTTTACCAGAACGAGTGTCATTATTAAAAAGTGTATATATATTACACTCACTGTACACATAAATAGCGATTGAATGATTCTTTGTCAGCTTGTCATTTTGGGTCTTGACAAAGTCTACACCTTTTTTCCAAGCATTTTTAAAACCAGGTGAGTTATTCATTTCCTTGTTTAGAAATACCGTCTTCACCTTTTCTGCCATTTTCTCTCTACAGCCCTTATATTGATCATCAACTGATTTTTTTGCCATATCAAGTGAAAATATCTGTTCTTCAACAGCTGCTCTGTGATCCTACAGCAACAGGAATCATAATGATCAATCGTCAGTATTCATGTCTGTAATATTCATACTAGAACACAAGCTTACCTGTCCTAGAGCAGCTATAACGAGGAGAAGAAGAGCTTTAAT